CAGATCGGCCCGTACGCTGTCGAATCGGTGTCTTCACATCACGAACTGAGCCCGTGAAGTTGAATTTTTTCACAATGCGTTGAATAGTGCGTTCTGTCGGGCGATTGATTTGACCATAAATTGAACGCAAATTTCTGAATGTTTTACGAACTGAACATGAATTTCGATGATAAATTCGAATAATTTCGATTCGTTGTTTGATCGAATAGCGCTGCATGGTTAATTTGTTGGACTTACTGAACACATCTGTCAAATATTTTGACAGCTTGGATGCCCCTGGTCCCTATTGGAAAAATAAAAAGTTCGGACATCCCTATTGAAACAACCTTTATCATTCGAAAGAGCATTAAAAACTCCATATTTGGTTGGTATACTCGACATTTTTCATTCGAGTACAGACAATTTACAGGCATAAATGTGTTTTGTGCTAGTACTGAGTTCATTTTTCGAGCTCACAGAATTTTAGCTTTGACCATTGAAATTTAATATTTTTTTAAAACGGGTTGATGTATTTTATAGCTTATCACCAGCTCTTTCTTATGGATGTAAATTTGTTTTGAATATTTTCGAGCTTCAAACAGCAATACATGCTGTGGGGCAATTCGCGCCACAAACGCAAGGGGCAATTAGCGTGTTTTTGGAGACCTCAATGGGGTCGGAAGGGGTGGTTGACTAAGTATTTTTGTAGCACCATCAATTACCTTTCCAACGGTACCACGGGTTTGACAATGCGTGGACTACTTCTTAGACAAACAAAAATCGGCGCAAAGTCATTTTTCGAATTTTGGGCCAAATTCGCCTGTCGACTGATGAAAAAAGGTAGTGTCACTTTGGGCGTAATAACTTCGCTTCAAGCAGTCCAAATTCCATGAAATTTTGACACAACATCAGCGAAGGATGTAATAATCTAATACTAACACTTTTTCTGGTGATAAACACATTTAAAACACTGAAAATGCGGCCGGCGCGAATTACCCCACCATTTTTTGATTTCGCCCCAAGGGCTATATGGGACCCCAAAGGGCATCAAACCAAAAACATTTCTTCTATAAAAGTTAGGTAAAAAGACAAGCTACAAAATGATACCAAACATTCCTGAGTTTTTTAAAATTTTCATGGAAATATAAAATTGTAAAAAAGTGGCGCGAATTACCCCACCTGGTCTACTTGTCGAATTGCATCCGAACCAAAATTTCGTTTATAAATAAATATTCATATTGATTTATGTTTGAAATTTGAAAAAGCAAAGTCACTTTAAGGTGTTTTATTTAAAATTTAATCGTAGATTGAAAAAAAAATTCCATTCCAATTCCCTTAACAAAGTGTACGGAAAAGTAAAATATTCAACATTACATTACTATTGTTGGCAGCATATTGAAGCTATTCCAATTGTTCTTCAATATTAATTCGGTTTCCTTTACCGAAAAAGTTGGGCGACATTATTGTGACCTGAAAAATGATACAGATCAATGAAAAAGATCAAAGCGGTATTTAATTTAGTCAGCAGTACCATGGTTAACAGCTAACTGACGAGGTGTTAGATTCTCAACATTTCTAATATCAACTTTGGCTCCTTCTTTGATGAGAAGTTCAGCAACATTCTTGCGACCTTAGAAATAATTTGAATCGATGAAAAAGATCAAACCGATTCTTTATTTTGTGAAAATAACTATTCAACATTACCCTTTCTAGCAGCATAATGAAGAGGTGTCTGATTAAAATGATTCATGATATCCATATTGGCGCCTTTTTTGATGAGAAGTTCAGCAACATTCTTGTGACCTTAGAAATAATTCAGATCGATGAAAAAGATCAAACCGATTCTTTATTTTGTGAAAATACTTATTCAACATTACCATGTCTAGCAGCATAATGAAGAGGTGTATGATTAAAATTAGTCATGGCATCCATATTGGCACCTTTGTTGAGGAGAACCTCGGCGACATTTTCGTGACCTGGGAAAAAAATCAGATCGATGAAAGAGATCAAATCAATCATTCCTTTAACAGAACAAGCATTCAACATTACCATCTAATGCAGCTAAATGAAGAGCTGTGGTATTCAAATCATCTCCAATATCAGCGTTAGCTCCATTCTTGAGAAGCACATCAGCGACACCTCCGTGACCTAAAATAATACGGATCAATGAAAGAGATCGACGGGATATCTTATTTAGTCAACCTTACCATTCATAGCTGCCAAATGAAGAGGTGTGTTATTAAAATAATTTTTAATATTAAGATCGTTTGCTTTACGGCTGAGAACTTCAGTGACGCTCTTGTGACCTGAAAAATAACCCAGATCGATGAAAAAATTTAGTGAAAAAAAGTGAAGGCTGCACTGACGCAGTGTAGTAGACATCACACACAACTCTGACACCCGTGTATGCTAGTCGGTTTTGTGTGTGAGTTGGTTGCGATGGCTGTATATGCGACGTTTGTTTGCACGATAGTTGTGTGCGCGGCAGTTGCATCGCGATATGCTTGTCTATTGGCCGAAGCATATTCAATGCTTGCTGCTAAGCAATACTAATGCGCATAGTACTCGAAAAAAGTATTCAAAATTACCATGGGAAGCAGCATGATGAAGAGGTGTCTGATTCTGAACATTTTTGATATCAACATTGGCTCCTTTGCTGGTGAGAAGTTCGGTGACACTCTTGTGACCTGAAAAATAACACCGATCGATGGGATAAAATCAGGTCAAACTTTTATTCAATAACAATAAGTATTCAACGTTACCTTCCTTAGCAGCATAATGCAGAGCTGTCTCATTGAAATCATTTCCAATATTAGGGTCGGCTCCTCCAGCGATGAGGCTTTGAACTTCCTCCACTTTGCCTGAAAGAATATGAAAAATATTCATAGATCAATGAAACGGATTGAACAAAACATTCTTTTTTATAAAAAAAGGTCCAAAATTACCATCTAAAGCAGCTCTATGCAGAGCTGTCTCTCCACTCATGTCTTTTTCGTTTACTAAAATATGTGTGAAAAGTTTAGCATTAATGAGGTTCCCATATCTTCGTTACAAGGTGCTTTGTATATGGAATTTAAGAGTTAAACTGGATAAATAAATGAAACTTCAATCTCACCGTTCCTCCCGGGTGGTGCTCCGCTCACATCCCCGAATAAGAACTGTGGAAATAGAATCAAAGTGATAAATTTGGAATAGGAACAACGGATGAGATTAATTATAAATGTATTTATAACAGTTTTCAACTGTTTTTAATAGAATAAAAGTTTCCGGTGAACATTTTTTGGAATAGAAGAATTTTTTCAATTGAAGAACTTGAAAAAAGGACACTTTTCATTTTTTAAATTATTTCAGAGAAAATTATCACAAATTGTGCACGAAAAGTATCAAACATGAAAAAATTTTTAAAAATCGACTGAAATTGTCGACTCACCTCGGATACCATCAAGCCAATGAGCAGCAGTGTGAAAGAACTTCGACTCAGCATTTTTCTAGCTTCGAACTATTAAAAGTTTACTATGAACGTATCAATTGGAAAGAACTGTTTGATGGACATGCGAATCGAACGCATCCTCTTATATACTTTTCAAGTGTGGCCACGTCGGTGGGCAACACATTGTATGATTCAATCCACGTACAATGACGATTCTAGTTAAAGTCCACAAAATATTATCGCACATATTTTTCAAGATAACAATGTCAAAACAATTGATGGAATTACAATTCCACCTGTGCACGTGTGTTTAATTTCGCGTTTCACATTTTCACGCATTGAAAATGTCAGATGTTTACATTTATGTGGTTGTTCAAATTTAAAAAATTTCACATCCTCTCTGCATGCACAAAACATATTCCGTTTTATACTTTTCAAGTGTTGTCACGTCGGTTGGCAACACACTGTATGATTCAATCCACGTACAATGACGATTCTAGTTAAAGTCCACAAAATATTATCGCACATATTTTTCAAGATAACAATGTCAAACAATTGATGGAATTACAATTCCACCTGTGCACGTGTGTTTAATTTTGCGTTTCACATTTTCACGCATTGAAAATATCAGATGTTTACATTTATTCTTTCATCACCTTCTTTAAACTACAAATTCAATGTAAAAATTTAAAAAATATTTTTCACACTATGGCACGTGGCTGTTCAAATTTAAAAATTTTCACATCTTCGCTGCATGCACAAAGCACATTCCGTTTCAAATTCGATCGAAAGTTGGCCACAGATCAACCGTCGCTTACATGATGTAAATTAGAATCTGAATGATCATGATCATGATCAAACGACATGACTCATACCTTTGCGTTAAATTCAGGCTCACATGCCATGGTTGCGTTGCTTTGTTCAATAGCTACAGTGTTAGTTGATGCAAGGATAAACGGTATCACATTTACTTTACATCACTCAATAAGGTATAGGTAGGATACGATGATATTGATACAAATCTTCGCATTCCCTCAAAAAATTACAAGCGAATCTCATGCAAAATCATATCCATACTGAGTTACACTTTCCATAGAAATATAGACAGCTCCTCAATTAGTTTGAAATTCCAATGAACACACACGTAAAGAAATACTTACAATCCGATACAAATTACATAAAAAAGAAAATAATTCTGTCACTGTCGCATTTCGTACCAACACAGCCAACTTTTTGTTTCCATGAAATAAATTCTTTGTAGTGGTCAAAAATCTATGGCACAGATTCGAGAAAAATATCACTAATACTGAGAAAAAACTATACTTTACTATCTAAATACGGCCAAACTAGTTATAATGCCATCGTTAGATGGCGTTTGTTCTGGTCAGAAGCTTAAAGGTCCTCCGTGGTGTGCGTTTTTTATATTATCGCTAAAATTTTATTTTATCTCATTAAATCAAGAATATTAAAAAAGAGAATTGATTTTGAAATGAAAGCCAATTCGGTCTTTAATCTAATCGATAATTTATTTGAAATAGTGTAGTATTCTACATTGGTGGTGACAGTGGGTGAATTAAAAAGTCTCGCATTTCTTAGAGAGTCCAAATCCAACAAAATATAATTTAAGCTCCCAGATGTCATCTTTTGAAGATGACAGTCATCTTTTTTTGAAGCTCGTCATCTCATCTCCTCTTTGACTAAATAGTCATCTTTTCGCTCCAAATATCATCTTTTCCCATCTTTTCCAGAATTTCAATAAAATCTCTACTTTTTTTTAATTTATTGAATAAAATATTTTCAAAATTTTCCATTTTTTCGTTCTTCGTATGCTAATGCATAGCAATTCAAACATACGTAATTCAGCGTTTGATAATTGCTGAATTACGTACATGTAGTGCCAGCTATTCGTACTGTCAAGTTATATTTGACATTTCACCAGTCGATTGATGAAATGAATCACCATTTAGCAAATTGCACAACAATTATTAGAAGAATTGAATCGAAGAAAATATTTTTATTGACCAAGTTAAAACAAAGAATCGTGTGATGTCGGGAAAGTGCAAATTTTTTAATAAATAAAATATATAAATAAATAAACAAATCAAAGTTGTTGCTTTTGACGCCCTCTACAATTTTCTTACAGATAGTAAACCGATATCTCCCATAGTTTCTGAGTTATACCCCGGTATTTGGGAACCTTCGAAAAATGGGTACTAATGACACCTTTGGGTCGCAGTTTTCTTGGGTTAACGGCAAAATCGGTTTCTGAAAATGGGCATACCGGCCTGAAATTCTACGATCTTTCAATCTATGATGAAAAAACGATACCTTAATAACGCATTATTTTGAAATAATTCACTATTTTCACCATTTTTCCATACTTTCCGGTATGGGTTAATTTTAACCCCTTAGTCAAACATTTTCACCGTTTTTGGATTGGAGGATCTATTGGGCCTCAATATCTTTCCAAAGAGCCAAAAATCATGCATTTATGTCTAATAATTATTATAATGGGCTCACAATGGCTTTTGGCGTAGAAGCACGGCAGCGCGGCCAAAAATGTGCCGGCGGTCAAATCTTTGGTATAGAGGCCGAGTTCGGAAAAGTGTCCATACACATTTCTACTCCTCATGAGCCAAGGAATCTGTCGTAGAGAGATTAGCATGGAATTATGAATCACCCTGCATATATTTTACATAAAATGTAAACTTGTTAGCATTTAAGAGTTTTGAACGAATTTATAGAATGAAAATTCATTAATATTTATATCCATATTTATTATTCTAATGAATAAAGTGAAGCTCCAATGGAAATATAACATGCAAACATTTTATTCTGCGAGTTTCCTATGTCATAATTTTAAAAAAATATGAAAGGATGACTGTCATCTTTTTGGATTCTTTTATCATCTTTTTTCTCTCCATTTTAAGAGGAAAGTCATCTTTTTTTTCGAACTTGATCTGGGAGCTTTAAATATAATTCTAATATTTAATACCGTATACGGCTTATAAGCAATTTAATAGACAAACAACTGGAGTTATTTTTAAGGTCTTCTCAAATGATTACGAGCTGACTTTGCCCGATGGGTGTCTGAGTTGATCTAGTATGCGAAATAAATACTTCAAAAAATCGTATACATGCAGGTTAGTGAAGTCATAGTCAGCTCTCCTGTAATGCAAATGTCAATCTGAGGACGGGTTCCGATGTGCCCCAACACAAGCTACAACTTAGGCATATGCATATCGGGATTTGTGGGTGGTCGAAAAAATCGACGGACACACGGACGCACATCCAAATCAATACTTTCATAGGAAACCATGGTCAAACTGCCAAAAATTGACATTTACTCTAAGCGATGCGTTTTGGATTTTTCATTGGAGTATTTGCTCGAAGTATTCGGATGACCGAATTAAGCAAATAAAGCATTGGAATCGTTGTCGATTCTAAAATTGTAGAGTCAATAAGTAGCTCTCTCGTTGAGAATTTGAGTAAATTATAATAATGACTTTGCGGCACCAGTTCATGTGCTGAAAACTGAACAAAAATCAATTTCCGATTTGATCACCTTACAGGGTAAAATCTGCGCTCAAATGAAAAATGCAACAATGTTGGCTTACGGAATATTAGTATTTCACATCATATATAGAGTGCACTGCATAGACGATTTTTCGGCAACTAACGAATCGCTAAATAGAGTGAAATGCTATATCTACGCGTGTGACGACAAGTCCGTTGCTCCATTGAGTAGTGTCTACATTAGTGGTGGAAGTGGGTAAATTAAAAAGGCTGGTATTTTTCAGAGAGTAACTTACTCTGAGTAAGTATGCGTTGAAACTACGTTGTAATTGTGATTGACACTGGTTGACAAAAGTTTATTTCTCTAATGATATCTAATTATTACATACAAACAGTTAAGGTTGCACAAATGCAGCAAAATGATATCTTCTATTTAGAAGCGTAACAGAAAAGTTGATGGTTGAACAAAGCAACAATATTAATATTGTTGACCACACAAATTGATATGGTCAAAGATTGACAAAAAACTATTGGAATAATTCTTCTACAGGACAATCGAAAACGGGAATCGAAGGAAATCATCCGATTATTCAGCTATTCGCCACCTGGAAAATACAGATCGACTAAAGATCAAACAATTTCTTGTTTTGTGAAAATATAAAAAGAATTACATTCGTAATCCCGTACTTTTCCGTACAGTTGTTCGTACTTTTTTTTTTTTTTTCATATTTTGAATAAAAAAAGCATATTTTCAGTGAAAATCGGTCATTTTAGTCGAAATTTTGACAATTTCGTATGGGAGGTACTTGTGAATCGATTACGAATGGCTTTAAACTTTCTAAGATTTATGGCGAAAAAATAAGAATCTGAGAGTTTGAAGTCAATCGGAATCGATTACACATCCCATACAAAAATATTATTTTTTGGAGGCTCTTCTTTGGGCAAGTACCTCAGGATGAAATCGAAAATGGCTCATCTTCAAACTCGAACTAAGTTTTTTGGGTACAAAACTTCTGGAAGATCCAGATTCTGATTATCTCAACTATTTTTTGAGTTATCGTGTTAACACACACCAAGGACGACGACGACAAAGACCACGGCACCAAAACGGAAAAGTGTCTCAAAAACGTGTTTTCTACGCGTTTCATGAGTTTTTATGATGATCTAAACCAGTTTCGCGTAAAAAGTTTTCGGGACCAATTCCGGGAAAATCCCCTTTGTACACGATTTTGACATTTTGTAGACTGACGGTAAAAATAATTTTAATTCCGAATCATTGATTTCATATTTATATATGTTTTGCTTTGTTGCTCCAGAAATTCAAATCAAATTCCTTCGCAAAGCCAATCGGTAAGAAAATTGCAATCAAAACTGAGCGTGACATTGAATAACGACTGGGCATAAAGCAAGAAGCAGAAGCTGGTGACGATAGCCATCAAAATCGAGTGTCCAATCGAAATGCAAATGTGTCGATGCCTACAGCAACACCAAACAAAGAAAAACAGAAATTGTTGGAAGCATTCGCATCTCTGAAAACAGAGAACCAAAAACTAACATTTGATTTGAAAAAGAAGAACGAAGAATGCGTTGAAATATTTTCCCATATGGAGGCGACGAAACAAGAACTCGTTGCAACAAAGGCTAAATTTGCTCCATTTTCCACAAATGCCACATTCTTCTCAAGCATGCGAAAAAAATTACATTACCTTCAATGAATTGACACATAATGAAATTAATTATTATTTAGTATTATAGTGGATCCATCCACTGTGTGATTTTGTTTTGTCTTGCTGTAAAATGTGACCGAGTTGAAGTAATTTCGAGCGGCCGAAGTGCAGGGCCGAATGGATGAAATAAAAACCAATAATTTACATAAATTTATATGTTACGCTCACATTCCGTTTTTAGATGTCTGAAGAAAAAAAGCAATAAATATCTGAATTTATTACCATTAGTTTATTATTATTTAGTCTTCGGAGAATGAAAACAAACGGGCATGTTTCATTTGCGTTTTTGTTTATTTCTTTTGGTAATGACATTTTTTCTTGAGAACTGCTTTGATCTGGTTACTCGCTTTATTTTGCTTGCCGAATTTTCTGTTTTCAGAGCGAATTGTACTCTCCTTAACCGATCGCTGCTCATTCGTTCCCAGTCCTTTCTCAACAGCCAACAGAGAGACGTCTTTCTTACCACGACTCGTTTTGTGTTGTTATCGAATTTTATTTTATTTCTCGTCGATACAATTTTTAGTCAAAGAAAAGTTTTTCAAAGTGAGGCCAAGGCCATCGAAGTTGGATAATTTCAGCATTTTTGGAATAAATGTCGCTTCGGGTGCTCTTTTCGCGGTTGGATTCGATGAATATGGATTAATGCAGCATGAAAGAATGTCATGGAAATAGTTTTCATCGATTTCACGTTCAGTGATTAAATTAAGTTCTTGGGCAGTAGCAATGGCACCACTTGCACAATTTTCAATTTCCGTTACAATTTCATCAAACGATGGAAGTTCAGATGACGTGGTCTTACTTTTTGCAGATTCAAGCCGTGGATATTTGAATCGTGGCGACGTAATGTGACTTATTTCATTTAGCATGTGTATTTTGCTAAGTTGAGCTATTGCTTCATTCGTGCTGGAATTGGCCACAGTTGAATATGTTGATGTGAGTGACCGCAACTGGCGAAATATACCTTCACACTGCTGACTTCCAAAAAGGTGTGGCAAAAACAATTCGGGTTGATTGATTTTGCGCAAATATGCTATCACTTGTACCAAGCTGTGTGCATTCAGTTCAATACATGAGTAGCAATTCGAAGTAAGGAAATTCTTGTCGAGTGAATAGTTTTTATGTGCCACAACATATCTTCTCCACAATCGAAGAATGAATACGCGATACCACATTTTCCGAACGCGTTCCAATGCCGATAAATCTTTTCTCATGAATGCTTCGGTTACATCTCGGATGGTTTCTAAAAATACAACTGTAGCTCGACTGTTTTTGACGCTCAATTTTAACAGTTCTGTGACTTTAACACTGCACATTTTTTCAACTGACCTGAAATTCTGTTTGTCAACTGGATTTAAAATCGATGCAGTCAACTCGTGCGTATCTTTGGTGAAGTGATCCAACAAATAATAGAGTAGTTTCAGTTGAATGAAATGTCTCGTCCAAATGGCAATGATCTCAGGCTCCATATGGTTCGAAGTAAGAAATTACGCAATTTCGTCCCAATATGTGTTGGGTCTTGGATAAAAAAAGGCCACGCTAGGCAACTAGAGGCAAACCAACTGAAATCTATCACATGGCTTTTGTGGCCTAGCTTTGACAAAAATCGCATGGCCGCATTATTTCGAGGTTCAGAATCACCGGATATGGACACCACTTCAATGCCCCGTGAATTGAGCTCTTGTTTTATAAAATTCCATCGATTCGATACGTCTTCGGCCGTATATTTGTTGTCGGATCCATAAGCAAGCAGGCAGAAAGGTGGAACTTCCGCTAACGGTTGAGCCATTATTAAGTTTAAATATGTTGATATTGAATTGTCAACCGGAGGAACTGTCAGAACGCCGTACTGTCAACAACGTTTTTTTTCCGCTCCGTAGAAGTTACAATACTTTCCTTGTTATTTATTGTTTTTATTCACTTTCATGTGATAATTTCGATTGTAGTGCTAATTTAAACGATAATTTTTCAACGAGTATACTGTGGTTCAACGGATTAATTGAGTTTTTTCTACAAAATTGGACTAAATTCAATTCATAACAAATAACATAACCAAAAAATCGCCAAATCAACCAAACCGACTGAAATCATGTCTACTCTTCGTAAATGCAATCCTGATGACTGTCCATCAAGATATGTGAGTTCAAACTATTTAGTTCAGTGCTACAGTTGCCACGGCAAATCCCATTTGCCTTGTTATGATATTGTGCAATCAGCGAAAAATATCTTCGTCTCACAGAACATTGTGTTCATATGTGATGAGTGCTTGACGGATAAATCACCTGTTCGTAAACAAGTCAAGAGCATGATTCAAGCCACTTTGAAACCGGGTGAATTGTCCATCTCCAACACACCATCTCGGCAGTCGTCCAAAACCGCCACCAAAAAAGAT